AATAGCATCAAAATTGGAACATTTTGATGTTAGAGCAATTCGGATACTGTCCAAAAAATATCTCAGCAACCACTGTTACGGATGGTTACATGCAAATCTACGAACTCTGCCTTTATTTTAGGTTTTTTTAAAAATTCATTTAAATTAACAATAATTTAACGAGTAAACGTAGTACTAAGACATGTAATCAAGATAAAGGCAGCATTTAACCATTTTATTGACCATCGAAAATTAATCGTGCAAGGAGAAAATATATTAATCAAATTATCGAACTAACAAACAACTAAAATATGGTTAATAAATGAAAATCTTAAACAAAATAGAACCTTTAAAAAAAATTAAACTACTTAAATCGACTTAAACAGAGCAAACACATGTAAAAAATAAGGATAAGGCGGGTAACAGACAGCTGACAAAAAATATCTGTTTAACTACTTGGCAACGCCTTAGCAACGAAATTGTTTGGAGTTAAACATGGCGTGACGTCTCCTAAGCACGTCTATTGCATTGGCCAGATGCATTGTTGCCAGAAGAAAAATTTTTGTCGTAACAAGGAATGTGCGTTTTATATAATTTAATTTATGTATATGGAGTTCTCATTACCGCCAAGAATTTCATTTTTACCAAACATGGACTAATTTAATTCGGTTCGCCGATCCATGCTCTACCGTGTTTATTGCACTACGGCGTCATGATAAGCATCCGTCGTGTTTCGGTTCGCACACGAGAAGTTCATGGATTAAAATGTCAGGTTTATGCTCAACCAACCAGTCGATGAGAGAAATACTTTTCTCCTAATCACCACATCTAAATATTTTTCAGCGCATAATCACGAAAGCCTATTACTGCATCCGAAGATAGAAAATTTCCTTCGTGCGTTGGTGGTGACACTAAAAAACAACAAAAATATGGTTTGTTAATAGAAAACGCAAAGGAACAGAGCTTCGCAAAATATTCGCCTCCTTACGTAAAGAATTTGCTCATACTTTAAGCCATTTTTGTTTCAGATTGACAGTTTGCTCTGAAAAGTAGTTTGTCAGTTTTGACAGAACATATGAACTATCACAAACGATGACAGACAGCATTTTACGAAACTCAAACGAAACTGTTTCAGATGAGGGAGAACCAGCACGATTTAGGAGTCACTAAAAATGAATCAATATTACTCACGGTCCAAACAGATTTTGCATAGATGAATTAATAATATCGCTTCCGAATAACCGTAATTTCATAACTTAATCCTAAAAACCTCAGTGGTATTTGCTGCCGACTGTGTTTGTTGATCGCAATGAATGCCATTCCATCTGGTGTAAGGCGGCAGAGGGCAAAGATTTGCTGCCTCAAATAACGACATTCGCTGCGAGTTGAAACCGCGAGCAATATTAGCATTAAGTTTGATCCTGAAAAAATTATCAGAGATTTGTAAGTCGAAAATCGACAAAAACGTTCAAACGATTCAACGTTCTGCATTAACGTATGTGAATTTGCCACGAATAAATAAAAAATAAACACTGTTAAGGTAGGTGATGGTCTTTCGAGAAAGTTTCAGGCACAACTATACACTGGTTTCAAATTAAATTTCATACATAATTTATTGAAATAAAAACGTATTCTATTCTGATTTCTAGCAAAAGTAAATAAAAAAGTATTGATTAGTGCGCGAACAATGTCCAATTCGGAGCAAAACCTGAAACGTTGCTGCATCGCATGGTGTTGAACCACCTGAAGAAGAGCCAAGCTTGGTTCAATTATTCCCGCTTTGAGATTTATAGCCTTAATGGAATTGGATTTGTGGCTTGGGTTCTGAGGCGGACGCAGT